CTTAAAAAAGCTAGGATACCAATTTTTCTAGAATAACTGCTGTACCATCAGCTGAGTGTCTATGTTCAGCACCTTTTTAATAGAATCAGAAGGAAACAACACCTCTAAAAGCACCTGTTCAATTTCAAATACACATGGCTTACATCCTCGTGCCTAAATGCACTTAAAAGTAGGCCAGTCCTCAGCTCATAAAGCAGTCATTAAAACCCATCACTGGGGTACTAGACTTCAATCCAAAATAGTCTTAAAGAAATCATGAGAAAGGATGTTTCAGACCAAACTAAAATGATTTAAGAACAGTGCTTCCAGTCCCAGCTTTTGTTACCAAAATCTATTCTGATATATGGAACCCAGTAAGTCAAAATACAGGAAAAAGAACAGCATTCATATAATCCCCTTTCCTGTTATAGAAAGACAGATGCATTATATATACAATCAGGGATGATTTCTGACTTTCCTTCATGTATTGGACATGTACTGGACATGAAGGACATCTATACTCTGTCAGATGCTGACACTAGAAATAAGACAGCAACTGGCCTTCACAAATTCACAGTTAAATAATTTAACAAGCTATGTAAGAAAACCTCCACTCCTAGAGTGGAGTAGCTCTAGGGATATAAAACTCAAGATAACCTTTAGAAAAGCCAAAATGAGAGTCATACAATCCAAATGCTAATGCGCAAGCCATTTACTAATTAGCTAGTCATTTAAAAGCTCACTGATACACTTGATTTTATTTTATACACGTTAACAACAGATTTTCTTATCTAAGTACATACCCTAGATGAAGCTTTTACTAGCTTAATGCCCTTAGACAAGTTGCTTCACTTGTCTGGACCTTGCTTAGCTCGTTGGGAAAATGGAGATAAATAGCTATACTTCAAGACGGTTCTAAGGATTACAGATAATTACGGAATGCACCACACAGTGTCTGGCATCTAGTAAAAGTGTAATAAATATAACTTGACATCATAATTACAGAATTTGCCAACTGATAACAAATTGATCAGAAAAATCAAATCAGAAGTATGAGGGGTGGGGACGGGAAAAAGCTCTGTGAATGAATAGCTGATGGGAAGGAAGGAGTCAGGAAACAAAGATGCAAAAACTCAGAAAGGACAGATGGGAGCCAGCAGCCTGCACACTTGATGAGCTGTTGAGGGCATCCCCAATGTTTTCACAGCATGTAAAAATGACCTGCCTGAAGATGACATTAAGCCATTTAAAACAGATTAAACTTTGACTCCATGTGTTTTAAAAAGGACAGATCAGCACATAATTGATTTTGGAAAGATTCCTATCAAAAGTGAGTTGGCATCACAAATTTAACATTTTACATGTCCAAACTTTAACGAACTGCAAAAATCTATTAACAAGCTTCTGCTAGACTCAATGTACAAAGGAACCTCTCAAATTTCAGAAGCCATTTTTTTCTACTCAGCACTGAAACAGATGTATGTCAAACAAATTAACTGTGGGAATATTTCAGTGCAATGCCCTAAAACATCATCAGTTTTTAACAACTAAAACAAAATAAAGTTTTGGTCTCGGTCATCACTAAATGTTTTTATATCTACCAAACAAATACAAACATGGGCCATGAAGATCTCTTTCCACTTGAATTTTCTCCCTACATTTGGAAGGCAGTAAAAAGCGAAAAACATCTGTCCCTTTCTGCAGAGCTGACAACCCTCATTCTACGGTTTAAAAATAAAAGATGTTTATGGAGGCTTATAGATATAATGATCACCTGCTTCAAAGGCAGCGGGCAATTAATGGATCCAAAGACAAGCAAAATTAAGGCCAAAAAAAACCAATTTCCCCTAAGGAGAATGCCACTGTTCCTCAGGCCTCTGGTAATACCCAAGACACCATAAAACTGTAGAGGATGGTAAAGAACCAAATGTGATACCAGATGACAAGAAAATAGTCGGCAATGGAGAAACAGGGGCATGTGTCCTTCTGGATTCACTATACCACCACAAGAACAGTTTCCCTGAGAGCTGCCCAGAGAGAATCTGCTTCAGTCTGACCAACAATCACTCTTCTTCCAGCCCAAGGAAGGCCAGATGTTCAACGATTAAAGGGATTGACCTTATTAAAAACAGAACCTGAAAATTCTCCTAAGTGAAGATTTAAAATTCTGTATTTTTTATAAACAGTTTTTACTCTGTGTTGTCTTACATCACCAAACATTCAAAAATGAGTACTAAGCAAGAACATTCACACCTAAATCAGTAGACTAGGCTTCTATTTCTGGCTCTGCCTCTGAATGAGTCACAGTGTGACCTTGAGAAAGTCATTTCATCTCTTTACCTACCTGCATTTCCCCCCTAGTTACAAGATTAGGTTAAACCTATCGATTTCTTTTAAAGAGAGTGAGTGGGTGAGATAAATATTTGGAAATGGCTACACAAATATCCACTGATCGCTGACCAGCTGTATCCAAACATCAAAAACAAAGTCGGTGATATCCATATTAAAACAACTCGCACTGCACTCTTGCCCTGCAGAGTAAAAAATTCTCCCTGGAGCAGCCAACAGAAAACAGGTGCTTACTGAACAGGACTCCTTGAAGAGTCTGAAATTTCAAATTTGGAAATACTTAGCAAATTAAAATACAATGCAAATAACAAGAATAAGCTTTTTTTTTTCCTCCTCTTAAGGAAAACAAATCTTCAACCTGTTTAGGGCCTATGATCTTCAGGACTCTGATCAATCTTCCTATGAAGTCTTTTTCCCTGACCCCTGCCAAGGAGATCAGTCCCTTTACCCTTATTGCTCCCAGAGGACAGCACTACACCCCTCCATTGCCCCTGAGTACTACCCTGGAGAAGCAGAACCATGATTTAATGACCTTTGTAGGTCCTGCCACTAACATATTGCCTGGTATAATGTGGGTGCCCAGAATATATACATACACATTTGTAAAATTTAAGGAATGAATGTATATCCAAAGTCTAATGCTATTAGAAAGAGCAACCATTAATATTAATAAGCGATAATGTGAATCATGGTGATATTTTCATTTAAAAATATATATTTATAGGGGCACCCGGGTGGCTCGGTGTGTTGAGTGTCTGACTCTTGGTTTTGGTCAGGTCATGATCTCAGGGTCCTGGGATCTAGCCCCAAGTCTGGGCTTTGTGCTCAGTGGGGAATCTGCCTGAGGTTCTCTCGCCCACCCCTCCCCCTTCCCCTGCGCATGCACTCGCTCTCAAATAAATAAATCTTTTTTAAAATATATATATACACATATATATTTATAAATGAATGATGACCTAGGTAAAGAGGAAACACATGATTTCTCACCAACACTAAATTCACAAAATTAACTGAAGAACTTTCCTGTCTTCTTTCTTTAAAAATGGTCTTTCAGGGATTTTTTTTTTTTTTTTTTTACAATTTATCTGAAGGGTTTTAGACTATAAGCATTACTTTTAATTTAACCTACACAATAAAGGGAAGGGAAGAGAAGTTAAAAAAGAGAGAGGGAAAGGGAGCAAGCAATAAATAAATGAACAAAGTGAATAAAAAAGGCTACTCTTAAGAATCTAGAAATGTAAAATAAAAGGTAATCCATAAGTGAAAATAAAAATGTAGTAATACAAGTAACTACCACAACATTAATGGCATTTAGCCAAAGTCGCTATGCCCATTGAGAAATGTCACTTAAGAAATGTTTTATAGATAACCCATTTATTAAAGTAATAGAACAGAGGATGTTAAGCTTTTCAAATTACATTTGAAATTTTTAGTCATTCAATTATTTATCACAAACCTACCAGTAATTGCATAAATTTTCATTCTTTCCTACTCCTTAAATTCTTACAGCCAGTATTTCCTTTCATAATAAAGAGTAGAAGTAAGAGAACATGAAACAAACTGTCACTCTACCAGTGGGTACTTCAGGTAAGGCCTTGGGACCTAGAAGCCTATAAGAAAGGATAAACTCATTATACTACTTGCTTTTTAATCACAGTAAGTGAACCCCTTAGCTGGGCTTTATGGTGTCCATCAGAATCTATTACAAAGGCTAAAGAGAGGTACCAGTTGGATTACATGTCCTTTTGGTTTCTCACCTTCACTATCTCCAAGCTATACCCTGTTTTGATTGGACATAAAGCCAAACGAAAATTATCTCTAATATTCTATTTCATTATTTATTAACTTTCTAATACCATGTATCAGATTTGGTTGCATCAGCAAATGGCAATGTTACCTTAACTTCTTTTTTTTTTTAATGTTTTATTTATTTATTCATGAGAGTCAGAGGCAGAGGAAGAAGCAGGCTTCCCGCTGAGCAGGGAGCCGGATGCGGGGCTCGATCCCAGGACCCTGGGATCATGACCTGAGCCGAAGGCAGACGCTTAACCATCTGAGCCACCCAGGCGCCCAGCAATATTCCCTTAACTTCTATGAGTAGTCTACCCAGATTGCTGCAAAATAGAAACTACATATTACATACATACATATACACACACATATTAGAGTAGTCAGAGGTCGCCTCTGGATAGTACTGGAATAAATTATTTGTTTCTCCAACATTGACCCTTGTCAAAGAATCATTAATAATTTTGTTCTTTTTAATGCTGTGGGGATAAGGACAGACAGAGAATGATGGCTCAGCTAACTAGGCCAAAAAAAAAGAGTTGATCTGCCTGGTGGGCCCCTGGACATAGAGAACAGCACATGTTTTGGAGAAATGGACAGAGGAGCCCTTTCTTGAGATGACTTAGGAGAGACACAACAAAGTTGTTCTCTCTGTATATAAAGAAAGAAAAAAGGAAAGGGGAGAAAAGAAAAGAAAAGAAAAGAAAAAGAAAAAAGAAAAGAAAAAAAAAGAAATTTTACTGAACTGGTGTGCAGGACCTGAAAAGGCCTCCCCTAAGAAGGCAGGATATGCCCTAAGCAGGTCTAGGCGTCTCAGAGTGCGGAGAGCAGGTGAGGGCGGAAGGCCCTGATTGGCAGGCAACCCGGCGGCAGGGTGCACTCACCTGTGAACACGTTCTGGAAACAATCAGCAGCCGCCTGTGCCCCAGACACCTTGGCCGCCTGCACTGGTGGCGCCCCACCACTCCCCTCCGAGGCCGCCCCGCGTTCCAGCAGGTGCGCAGAGCCCCCGGCCGGGGGCGCACGGCTGCCCAGCTCCTCAGTCCAGTCGGCTGAACGGCTGAGGCCGCAGGCGAGGCCGCTGTCAGCCCGGTGCTTCTTGGCTGGAGCAGCGGCAGAGACTAGGGAAGCCCTGGGTCCCCGGCTCAGAGAGGACTCTAGCCGCCTCTTGATCCTGGGGCTCTGGCTGGGGGACTGAGAGGGGGAGTGATTGGGCGAGCTGAGCTGCCGGGTGGTGGTCTTGATGTAGCAGGGAGTGATGAGCGGGTAGGGCTTGAAGCAGCGCGGGCTCGGCGCAGGGCTGCTGGGCAGGGAGGCAGCTGCCAGGGCGCCGGGCCTGCTGGGCTCCCCCTCGGGCTCTGCCCCCAGCTTCGGGGGAACCTCTTCCACCCCCGGACCCCACGTCTCCCCTGGAGAGTCTCGGGGGGCATCCTCAAATGCATCTTCCTCGCCTTCCTCGTCAGTGTCCCCAGCCCCTGGGCCGGCAGCTCTGGCCGAGCCCTCACCCGGCGGGGCCTCAGGGAACGGGAAGGCGGGGGAGGAGGGCGAGGCTGCGGCTGCGGGCTGGCCCTCAGGCAGGCCAGGCATCGCCAAGGCTCCAGGGCCGCTGGGGGGCGGTGGCTGCTCAGGCACCTGGGGCTCGGTGGCCAGGCTGCCAGGCAGGTCAGAAAGCGCAGACAGAGCCCGCTCCGGGTCAGGGCTGCAAGGGGCCTCCCGGGCTGTGCTGCTGGAACCCAGCAAGTACTGGTCCAGGCCCAAGAAGGCCCCGGGCTGGGGGGAGGCGGCTGCGGAGGGCGCTGCAGGCTCCTCGGAGCCCCGCTGCTGCTGCCGCTGCTGCTGCTGGCGGATCGCCTGCTGAATGTCTGAAAGCAAATCCTCTTGCTCCGTGGCCGAGTGGAAGCTATAGATGTCCGTGTCCGAGCCTGAACTGGTCCTTTGTCCATCCTGCATCCCCACGGCTGTTTCCAAATCCTCCAAGACCACCCTGCCCCCAACCCCAGCATCAGTGGGTCCATGGCCACTCGGACGGGTTACCTCGAATGGGTCAGCACACTCGGTATCCGACAGGCCCGTCTCGTCTGCCGAGAGGCTGAGGTCTGGAGTCTTGGTGACCAGAGAATGCGCGCTGTCCAGCTCCCCGGTCTGCAGGGCCTGGGAGTCCAGCACATCCTCGCGGGAGCCACCGGTGCTTTTCCCCTTGGACAGGTTCTTCCTGATCCGCAGGTTGGAAAACACTGAGGCTCTAGATTCCGACTTGTTCTTCTTCTTGCCTGGCTCCCCCCCGCCGCCACCCCCTCCCCCCTTGCCGTGCTTGCCCAACGCCTTCTTGCCCCCGCTCCCCTTCTTTGTGGCTTCCACATCTCTGGGCCCAACAGCATCCTCTGCGCTGCTTCCGCCTTCGTGCAAGGCATCACCTGCGCTCCTCTTCAGCTTCCCATCCTGGTTCCCCATGTTGCAATCCCGCCGCTGAGCCGAGGCGCCTCCAACACTCAGGCCATGCCGGCCCTCCTTGGCCCCCAGCCCGCACAGGGGTAGGCACGGGGGCCAGTCAAGCGGCCCGGCAAGCCTCTGGGCGAGGAGGCCAACGCGCGTGGGGCTGGCCCTGCTCGCATCTGCCGCCTCTTTGCACAATGCGTGCCTGCTCCTGCTCCTGCGGCTGCAGTGCCTGTGCCTGCAGCCCCGAGCAAGCGGGGCTCGAACATGCTCAGTGCAGCACCCAGAGCCAGCCAATGGCAGCGCAGAACGCAGTCCGGGCCTGGCCCCCCAATGGCCGCCGCTGACCCCTCCGCCCTCGCTTGGCTCCTCACCGAAGCGGGGCGCGAAAAATGTTTGCTCTATCTTGGGGACTTTCATCTCCACCGTGTGAATCGAATGCATTGTCCCCGTGGAAGAAGTTCGTCAGCTGGAAGACACACAAGGAACTTCAAAGCTCCGGGACCTGCGATGAAAAAAGTTAAACAAAAAAAGAGAATTTTAGATGGGGGGAAACTGAAGCCACGTTCCAATTTGGAGGTGCTACAATATCGAAGCCATATATACTACCCACCCCTCCCCACAACGTGCCTGCAGAAACATGGCTCTTCAATAAATATTTGTTGACTGAATGGATTGTTCTTTTAATAACTGATCATCTTGAACAGTGTTAATGTGCTTGAGCACATGCTTTAGGAAAGGTTACTACATATAGTGCTCCTTTTATGTTTGATGCAGACCTTGCATCTATTTACGTGAGAGAACATTAGCTGCCATTTCAAAAATTCATTTTTCAAACTTGGCATTTTCAAAAAATGGCAAGGTGAGGAAATAAAAAAAAAAATCCTAGGAGATTAGAGTTGATTAAAATGCTAATCTCCAAAATTCTATGTATTTACCATATAAATCAAATAGCATTTGTATTCCAAAAGGGTACATATACTATAATTCCCAGGAGGTCAAACTCATCAATATTAAACATGCTCCTATTGTTGTTGCATATAAAAAGGAAAAAGACAAAAAGGAAACACTCTTGGCACAAACACATGAAATCAGATGTTACGGTATAAACCACTGCTTCCCAACCAAACCCTTCAAGGCAAACTTTGTCCTTGCCTCTATTATAAAAGTTTGTAACAGTTTACTGTAACAGAGTTTCTTAACATTGTGGCTCCTATATTAATATAAAAATTTCCTTCATTATAAATCTTGTCACTGTTACTTAGGAAATTAATTTACCCATATTTAAAAAGCATTTTTAAACATCATAGGTATCTAAAGAAGCTCCAAGAGATTAAAGCAACTTTAATCAACAATGTTATAAGTATTTGAGTTGCAAATTCATCATTAACCAGTTCGAAAATATGGAGTAGCTATCGGACAAGTTAGTATTTTAAAGTAAGCCCAAAGGAGGAAAAAGTACTACATGTTATATGATGCAATTCAAATGCAGCAAGCAAAAAATGTTCCCTTGCATATTGTGAACTACATTTTAAACCTCTTTCCTCAACCATTTTTATCTAAAAAACAACAACAACAACAAAAGAAAAACAGTCCTATAAATCTTCGACGTAAAAGTGTTATGTAGCAATAACTACTAGCATTTTTCAAATTATGTTCTTAAAAAGAGATAATTTAAAATCAGGCAGCCAGTCATTTTAGGTGGTCTTTTTGAGTAAATGGCTTGGAGAAATCAACTTTAATAACTCTAGCAGGGTAGCAACCCTGTCTCTCAACAGTTCTGGAGCGCTTAAAACCCTTTGTTTCCCCCTCTTTCACAAGACTGCTCTCTTCTAGAATGTAGGCTCCCTCTATGAGGGCACAATTCGCCTAAGGCTTTCAGAATTTTCTGCCTCTTTGAACACTGAGGTACTATGGATTTTTATTTTTGCTCTTTCCTTGACAAGACGTCTTTGACTCTGAACTATTTGGGGTTTTTTGTTTGTTTGTTTGTTTGTTTGTTTGTTATTATTTACTTCTGTAACATGTTTAAGTTCCAGAGATTAATAAAAAGGAGAGAAGAAGGCAAGGAGGGTGGACAGGAGAGAGGAAAAGGTGAGTGAAGACTGCTGATGCTTTCACATCCTTTGAATGTGAAATAACAGAGGACAATTCAGGAACAGGTCACAAGAGACAATGTTCTACTACACGCAAAAGCTAGTTGGAAACTCACAGTGTGGGCATCAAATGTAGGTAGGTACCCTCAAATCCAATTTAATAAATGAGTAAGTTCAGGCTAAGAGATTTGTCCAAGGCCACATAGCAGCAAAGACAATACTTGAACCTATAGATTTAGGTTCCAAATTCTTTATAACAAACAACACTGCATAGTTTATTCTTTCACGGACTGGTAAGGGCATCAGGAAGGCAAGCAGTATTTAGTAATCCCAAAGATGCCTGAGACATGGCCTAAGCTTAACTCCATTTGATCAAGACAGGGTATCCTATCTCTAGCTGCAGAAAATGCATTTAACAAATAGAGATCCTACCTTGTGCCTGGCCAAATACTAAGTACCAGGATACAGAAAAGAAATGGCCTCTGTATTCAAGAATCTAATCTAGCATAACTGTTAGTAAAAGTCTTTAGTATTAGCATCCCAAACAGGCTCACAAAAAAAAGTATATAAAATTAGTTGCTACCCATTTTCCAATAGAGGCAATTGGATATGGATTTTAAAAATAATATAAGTAGATCAAAAAAATTTTAAACAAATGTTGAATTCCAGCTCATAATATGCATATGTGAATGTAGTTGGGATAAATGTACTGAGCTCTGCAACTTACTCAAAAAGGCATCAAAAAATTAAGATGCTTTAATGGATGGATGGATACATGGATAGATAACATAATAAAGCAAGTATATTTAAATTTTAATTGTATAATTTAGGTGATGGATACATGCTATTGCTGTAAAATTTTTTCCACTCTTCTATATGTTTGAAATTTTTCATATTAAAATGTGGTATAAGAAAGTGGGTTGCAAGAATCTGTGAATTTCCCAGTGTCTTTGAAATAAAAATCGTATAATGGTTAATAGCACTCAATAAACAGTAAATGAATAAGCAACCTTCCTCTCTTCACTTTTACCTGAGTTACATGTCATTTCTTCTTCTCTCTTCCTTCAGTTCTCCTCCTCCTCCATCATTCTCTCAATTCAGTATCTCTCAATACTCAAATGTTTTGATACGTGGGTTTTTAGGTTTCTCTCTGCTTCATCTTAGTGGAATGTTTGAGAATCTCTAACAAAACGATCAGATTGGATGTTCATATCCAACTCACCCTTTTCTCTGGCAGGTGAATAACCTTCTCTTGAAAGACAATTCTGTCCTGATATCACCTACTAAGACTTGGCCTCCTCAATCTGCCTCTCAGTCCAGACTTTACTCCTATACTACAGACTCCTGGACCCACTTTCTAGACAACAGTTCCATTGTCATGTCCCCACTCAAACCCACCGTATCTGAATGGGACTCCTCTTGTCTGGCATATTTCATCCTCCATTATTTTTTTTTTTTTTTTTTTTTGCTCAGTAATAGCACCACAATCTCTCCAGTTGGCCAAACCCAACTTGTTGCTAACTCCTGCCTTTCCCTCAGTCCACACAATTTACCAATCACAGAGACTTCTCTATTCTTCCTCCTTATGTCTCTTAAATCCACTCATCTCTTCAATCCCAACTGCCATTTCCCTGGTCTTTCTCCCACTCCCACCTCCAACTCCCATCTGCTCTTTCTTGCTGTCATCAATGCTTCTCAACTGAGGAGATGATTTTCCTTCCCAGGGAATATTTGACCCTGTCTGGAGACATTTTGGGTTGTCATAATGTATGCTGCTGGTACAAACGATGTTGCTAAACTTTATACATAGGACAGTACCCTCTCTTCAACCAAGAATGATCCAGCCCAAAATGCCAATAATGTTGTGGTTGAGCACCTGCTTTATCATGAAGCCTCTCACCGGAGCTGAGGGTCAACAAATGTCTAGGGCATGAGTAAAAGAATGGAAATTATTATTATTTTGAAAATTATTTCCCAGTTCATCAAGCCAAATCAGAAACTTGAAAGCAGAATCTAACAAGACAAGTAAGATTTTAACCACTGTGTCTATAGTACCAATATCTTATATGGAGCATTAACTCTTCTCTGAGACATTCATATTCTATGAAATGATGTATCTACATAAATACTCCAATTTTTCACATACTTGCTAACATTATAAAAAGCACTTAATCTTACAAGAAAATTTCAGGACAGAATCCCCAGAGCTCTTTTACAGAAATCATTATGTGGATCACAAATGAGAATTATGTGGCTTTCAATTTTTGCCATATTCTTTCATGTTATCACCAATGCAGTGCTTGGAAATTAAGTGCTTACAAAACTGAGAGAAAGTCAAACATTATTTTCCCCAAGAAATACAGAATGTGCTACAAATTTGTTCCTATTTTAGAAGAGTGAAAGTAAAGGAAATGCATTTTAGATCACGTGCATTTCTCACTGCTACAAGTAGAACATAAACGTCCCTCCTAGATACCTGGGTACACTTTAGCTTTCAACATAGATTAGCCAAAAAGATTGGAAGGAAGGAAGAAAAGCATTTATTTTGTTCTTATGTCACAAGGAATCACCTGGTATCAAGTCTCTAGTTGTACCCTTTTTAAGTGAAGTTGGCCTTTCTACCTGAAAGGGGCCATCCAGGGACTCTTAAGTGAGTAATCAACAACTATTCAGAATTATCTATAGAAAACCCACTGTAAACCCATAATTTACCTTGTTCAGTAGCAAGAAGCAACAAAAAGCTTCTAAAGACAGAGCCAATAAGAAATTAAGATTGAAACAGCTAATCCTTGGCCTGGAGAGCCCTGTTCTCCAATCAAAATGTAACGCAAGCCTCATTGGTAACATAAATATTCTAGTAACAATATTTAAAAAGGCTAAAAGAAACAACATAATTTGAAGAGTACATCTTATTTAACCCAA